AAAACAACAACAACAACAACAACAACAACAACCTTCCCCGCTAAGGACTGTAACACAGGATACAACATGTAAACTTGTGGAAAATTAGGATAAACGTGGACTGAAATATTGTTTAAAGTTCTGTAAAGAGGAAGACTCCGTGATAGAGCTATGATCAAAGCTCGAGTGCGTGTTCAAAATAATCTCCGTAAACGAGACATGAAAAGGGTCTTGTGAGTATCACCTGGGAAAGAGCTGCCTGCAAGCGCTGGGAAAAAGTCTCTCTCCATTCCTTGGTGTTGTCATTCTCGATCTCCAGAGCCAAGTCAAAAGACAGACGCACAGTGGTGAGATCCTCTGAAACAGAGAACAACTGCGTGATTACTGCTGTGATTCATTTTGGCATCCGGGGCGATACCGCGTGGCAATAAATTTTTGCGGGAGTTTATTTTTGCGAATCGGCGATTTTTTGCCTTTTGCGGGAACTAATTTTTAAAAAACAGTAATCCAGTAATCAGTGTCACTCTATCACAGTTACATTGAGCTCGTGCGCGCAATTGTCGCTGCTCTTCTCAATGGAGTACCTTCAGACGATCCTTTCCTGTAAACCTTTTTTTTTTTTTTTTGGTATTTCTGAACGTTTTGTTTCTCATTTCTTGGTTTTGTTTCTAAACGAAACACGTTTTAAATAAATGGCAGTAATAAGAATCCAGTTGTAATATTTGTATGTAAAATTTCGCTAGTGGAGTCAATTTCTGCGGGGAATATTTTCGCAGGAATTATTTTTGTGCGGGTACTTTTTCTGCGCATCAGGAAAAAATGCAAAAATCGAAAAAATTAGAACCCCCAAAATTTTGTGCCACACGGTAAAATACTTCAGTTAGCTCAAAAGGAAAGCGCTTTTTGGAGAGCGAGAGAAAGTTCGAGCTCTGGCCTAGGTTATTCTGTTGTGTTTTTAGAAAAAAGTCACTTGACTCTCACGGTGCCTCTCCACCCAGGGGCTTTAACGGGTACAGGGGGTAACCCTGCAATGCACTAAGATCCTCCGCAGGGAGGAGTAGAAATACTCCTAGCCGTGTCATACTAAGGAAACCGGAGATATCCGCCGAATTAATCAGCCACTAGGTTCGAACCCAGACTAAAGCAACCCTCCCCCCCATCTCCCCTCCCCTTCCCTCCCCCGCGTATGCCGGAAAAAGGTCTATCGAACGCACCCTTCATACTAACCATATACCATAACAGTCGCAGAGTTGCTTTCCTGCCCAATCACACTGATAGCAGTGACAGAGACATCATGTTTCCCGGGTGTTGTGAATGTATGGGCCACTTCATAATCCCACGTCAGCAGCGGCTTCTTGTTCTTGTCTTTGTTCTTTTCAAAAAACCACATGAAATGTACAAAGCCATAAGATGGAGAGTACTCTTCTGGGTTAACCAAGTTGTTGGAATGAAGCGTCACATTGAACCAGGCTTCTTGACCAATGACCACTGCATGTGGTGGGTCAATAACGATTGCTGTAATGGGATCTGCAGAAAGAAGAAAGGAGTAACATACACAACAAAAGCGCTCTTAAGGAAGGCAACGATTCGAGCAACTTGTCGCGCAGTTGCGAGAAAAAAAAACAGAAAAGAACTCTTCAGTGCTACGCCCAGGCAAAGCTCAAAAGTTAATTTGCAGTGTTGCCGTGATCGTTTGGAAAAGCAGAACATGATTCTACTTTGTGCGAAGCTCGCTGCAAGGAAAACGTTGCGTGACTTGTTCAGCTTAGGCGGTGTCACGATAGGCAATTTTTCTTGCAACTTGAGGCACACTAAAATTGCGTGACAAAATGGAAGAAAAATTGCTTGATGTAACAGAAGGAAAGGGTTTTTCTAATATTAAAAAAAAATGTTCTTTTTCGAGTTTCATTAGTGGAAACATTCGATTAAAACGAAAAAAGATAAGAAAATAAAGTTTTGAAATAAAGAACAGCACTAGAGAATGAAAAGTTTATTCCTTGCCTCTTGGAAGGAATCTTTAATCCGTTTTGATGGTAATTTCTATTTATATATATTTTTTTTCTTTGTTTAACTCAATTTGACTAATTGAACTTCGGCTTGCCCTAACCTCGAATAGCGTGTCTATGTCATTTTCAGGGGCTTAACTTTGTAAATAATGCTTTGTTCTTGTTTGTTTGTTTGTTTGTTTTTGGTTATTAACATTATCATCTCACCCCTTCTTTAGTCTTCTATAGTCTATTTTTTGCTATGAATTATGTTTCTTCGAGCACACGAGCGATATGAGCGCGAGAGAGAGCGAGCGCGGAGCGCTAGCAATCAAAGCGCGGTCACTCTCTTGCGTTTATACTTTTGCCCGCGATCTCGGGTCTGCGGGTCTGCGGGTCTGCGGGTCTGCGGACAGACTGATGAGAGCGGTCACCCCAACTAACCAACCGCCTCAACTGTTTCGACTCTAAGCATAAACAACACACCTTTTACAATGATTTCAGCAGTGACCACAGACTGCCCAGCCTTGTTGCCTGCTATGAGTCGTACAACAAAGTCGCCATGTTTGTGGTAAGTGTGTGACACATGCTCTGCACTACTGAGTCCGGTTTTGTTGAGCACAGTACTATTGTCTCCAAAGTCCCATGCATACCAGGTGGATTCAGTTGAGCCCTAAGCATTGAACAGATTAACAGAGAATTAAATGTGAACGCAGTGTTCTTTGTCATACGCTATTCTCGGACGACAAAAAGCTGTCATAAATTTGTCTAAATACGTGAGAGTGAAGTGTCGCCACAACAAACTGTCCCCAGCCAGGGTTTGAAACCGGACCACTCGATCCGGAGACAGGCGCCGCGCACTAACCACGAGGCCACCATAGATTTGTAGCGGAAGGTTTAATACACAATTTTTTTAAAAGATGTTGGTGTTCACGGGGCGAGTTCACCGAACGAAACACAGTCCCCGCAATAGAATCTGGAATGACTGTGAGGCATTTTGCTTTGGATTTGTAAGGGCTGTTCAAAGGTTTCACACCCTCTGCCAATTTGTGCAGCGTGTGTTAATAAAAGAGTTTGTTTTGTAGTCGTTAAGTGATTTCTTAGAAATTTACGAAGGAGGAGAAAGGGATGAAAACTTAATTCCGAATTCTGTCGTCGTGTCTTGGAAAAATCGCTACAAACTGCAATTCACTTTCCCTTCAAAACTTGACTTAATATCCTTATCTTAGTTTTCTAGAAAGATTTCTTATACCAGCGAAGATACTTCAGCAAACCACTGTGATATTATTCCTTAAATTGTCTTGCCAAAGAACACAATACCATGACTAACGCTAGACTATTCGATCCGCATTCCAAACAACTAACCACTGAACCACTGCATCTCCCCGTATCAGTTCAAATTCTTTACGACTTTGTAAATAGAGCAGTTTTCAAGAGATTATTGCAAAACCAAACGAAAGTAATCACACTGGCCAATAAAAAATTACACAGACGATCCAGTGAACCAATCAAAACTCAGAGGAAAGTCGTGTAACCGGCACAAAGCGCAGGAAAATGTGTACGAGCGAGTTACGACTGCGTATGATTTTTACATCTGATTGGATGACAAAGTGGCGCGAGTTTTTTTAAGCCAATCGCTTAGCGTGGCAATGCAAAACCAAAGCGAATGCGAATTACTATTGCTTCTCAAATAAAACCGCTCTAGTTCACAATAATGAGAGTAATCAGTAGCTTAAATTTACTTCAATCAATGTATGAAGTGTTATACCTCCTTCTGGCTAAGGTTAAAATTCACTTGTTTGTGAACTTCTACAGTCTTCGAAACTGCCGCAAACTTGATATTTAGCTCTGCTGGGGCTGAAAAAAAAAAGGTTGTTATGGTACCTATCACTAATTTCAATAAAGCATGTCAGTTAAAACTTTGTAAAACGGACCATTTGTGCATGGTAGAGGTTGCTACTAAAATCAAATTAAAGCAGTCTTCAGTAAACTGCGTGCAGTGATACTAGAAGCGAATCCAAAATAGAGATGACCAGCCAAAACAGTGCCGCTGAAACATTTTACCATGTTGTTGTAATATCATGTACCTTTCGTTGGACAAGGCCTTGTCTCTGGCATAAGCTTTTCTTCTACACCTCCTTTACAAAGGTCTCCAATTACTTTTCTGTAGCTGTGACAACATACAGAGAAATTTGATTACATTCAAAAGGAACAAATAATCTTTACAACAGCTTGTCTTCTCGACACTGCTTTACAGCTCATCACGAAGTATTTTTCTTATATTTCATATCACTTACAAACCTCCCCCCGCACAGATGTGCATTTCATAAGCCAACCCAAAAGACAGACAGACAAACAGAAAGGCAGGTAAACAGACAGACAGACACACAGACAGATAGACAGACAGACAGGCAGACAGGCAGACAGACAGACAGACAGACAAACATGCAGGCAGACAGAGAAACAGGCATACGGAAATACAGAGAGAGAGACAGACAGACTAACAGAAAGACAGAAAGACAGAAGACAGAAGACAGACAAACAGATAATTTTATTTAAGACGGTAAAATTCCTTCACCCTACCTATTTACAACCTCTTTTTACAAACCCATTGTGTGGCTATACCTGACATTTTACTTGTAAGTATGCTTGCAGCCAAACCGCATCTTCAAGGTAAGGCGCCCAGATTGACAAAATAATTGGTGAAACTTGCAGGTTAATTATATTCTCTTACCCACGCGTGTGTTGGTAGGTTTTCCCCTCTGGACAGACTGCTGGTACAGGGCTGGCATCATTGGTGGGCACACACACGTCACCAAGCACGCCATGGATATAGCCATAATCACTAGGATCAACACCAACATAATAATTAAATAATTCATCACGTTGAAAAAAAAAAAAAAAAAAAAGAAACTAGTTTCGATTGCGAAGATCTATCAAACACCCAAGGCCTTTTTTTTTTAACCACGTTTCCAAAGACCTCAAAGTTCGTCCGAATTACTCCGCTACGCGTCGTATTTTAATTTTCCGTCTGGCTTCCCAGAGTTAGGAAAAGTGGTAAACACTGGTTTCTTGTATTTGATGTAACATATCAAATACGAAAGACCGTGTTTGACCACATCACCAAACACCGAGAAGAGAGTTGAAAATATGACGCGTAGCGGAGTATTTTTGACGAACTTCGAGGTGTTTGGAAATGTGGTCAAACAGTGTCTTGAGTGTTTGATATATCTTCTCAATCGAAACTAAAACTAAGGAGAAAACGGAGATATAAATCGTTAAAATCTACGCTAATTAAGATCAGATATCCAAACACCGTCACGGTCATGATTTCCTTTGTTTAAAACTTGAGGAATTATTAATGGGTTTGAGAAATATTACGTGCACACTAAGAGGAAAGCTTGCATACGAGGATAAAAGTACTGGGGGAGGGACAACGGAAAAATACTTCATGTATGTGGCATGCTTTATCAACCACCTTCTTTTTCAATTTATAAAACGTTTACCACTGAGAAAGATTTTTTTTCTCAGCACTTGAAACCTTAGTACAGTAGCCTTGTAATACATGCTTTTTTCATTTCAGGTAACCATTTTGTACGTATTACCAAGATGACGATTTCCTTTTCTTATGAATGACGAGGTCACTTGATAGTCTTCTGTGTACCACATTCATCAATACTTGAAGAGCCTTAACAAAGAACAAAACTTCTCTATGACAATAGGGATTGAGAACATTGAACCACACGTATAAGTTGACAAACTCACCAGTCGAAATCATCAATTTCACAAGTACAGGTAGTGACATTGATCTCTCTCTCGTACTCATCACCATTGAAACAGCAGTCGCCTGACTTGCGGCGCTCAAACACAATGTGCTGACCCAACAAGCAACGCCCGTCAACACGCTGAAATAACATCCACAAACAATAGTTCGTAGAATTCTACTTGAACACTAATGCAAATGCTACAATCTGATTGGTTGAGCTACCATACACTATCAGCCATTAGCAGAATTCTACTTGAACACTAATGCAAATGCTACAATCTGATTGGTTGAACTGTCATACACGATCAGCCATAAGTGTGTGGTGGCTGCAGGTCGTCTACAAAACGGCGACATTTTCTCANTTGAGCTACCATACACTATCAGCCATTAGCAGAATTCTACTTGAACACTAATGCAAATGCTACAATCTGATTGGTTGAACTGTCATACACGATCAGCCATAAGTGTGTGGTGGCTGCAGGTCGTCTACAAAACGGCGACATTTTCTCATTGTCCCGAAATTTCGAAGGAACGTTGAGAAACAAATGGATAATTAATTCATCAGAAGCTTAACGAAGGACATTCACGGATTGTTGATGTTAAAATCTCGAAATTGTTGAAAAAGCTGCTGCACGCATGCACAACTGCAAATTTCAAATGACAAGTCTGTCTGCGCATTTTTTACGTTAATGCTACGTAGAGGTAAAGGTAAAGTCTGCATACGAGCCAAGTGGCCCATCAGGCCGGAGCTTATCCCGGTTTCTGTAGCATGAAGCGACTAGGAGTATTTCTACTCCNGCCCAAGAACACAACACAATGTTCCCGGCCAGGGCTCGAACCCGGACCGCTCGATCCGGATACGAGCGCACTAACCATGAGGCCACCGCGCCTCCCAAACGTAGAGACATAATTGAAAATCGTCCTTTAAAGGAAATTTCATTTACTACAACAATTAGATTATTTGTTCTCGATTTCTACGAGGCGATAGTTGCTTCGGCCTTCGGCCTCATCTACTATCACCTCATAGAAATTTCAAGATCATAATCTAATTGATAAAAGTATGTTGACATAAATTAATAAACTTCTGATGCTCCTTGTCATTGGGAAAGCCACCCCATAAACATAACAGCGCAAAGAAAGCTTATTGCCAACTAAAATTTACCAGAAAACTAAGACGTGCGGTAATTCTGAAGAGGCACAGGCGAGGAACACCTGCTGGGCTTGCTGATGAGCCCGCTTAGTTGTTTTGCTATCTTCTCGGCTGCATCGCTGGATATACACTTGCAATACTGTACGTGTCATGAGAGAAACCCTGGTCAAAGAATCACTGGTCACTTGAGCCTGATAATCAATGACGACAGAAGAACCAGGAACTGAAGTATATTCAATAATTATATTATGAGCTCGAGATTTCTATCCCGTGATAGCTGACGAGGATGCAGCCCGAGTCAACTATCACGCATGGAAATCGAGAGCGAATAATCTAATTGTTTTAGTATAGTTTACAAGTCGTTCAGAACTTTATCCAAATCCTCTTCACAGACACTCCGAGAACGCAAACAAGCGGTAGCCACTTTGTTCACAACCACACCCTGCTATGCTACTTACTAACTGAATAGCGTAGCCAATCAGAGAACGGCATTTGTGATAGAACGATAGTAGATTTATACCAATGGTCAACAGCGTTGTAGAACAAAACGTTAAGTAATATATCAAACACGAGAGACAGTGTTTCATCGGGATATCCAAACAACGAAAAGAGAGTTGTTTGGATAGTCGATGAAACACTGTTTCGAGGGTTTGATATATCTTCTCAATCGAAACGAAAACCACGGAGAAAATGGAGAAGTAAAATCGTCAAAATCTATGCTAATTAAGACCGGGTATCCAAACTTCCTTCACGGTTGTGATTTCCTTTGCTTTAACTTGATGAATTATTCATGAGTTTGACACTTTGAGTTCTTACCTCATCATTAGGAGACCATTTAGTGTAATTTCCCGCCTGACACTTTTGGTCCAGCACTGAAGTGAAGTTAAGTTTAACTGACAGCCACTGAAAGGTCTCCGTTGCATATTGACCAAACAAGCTAATAACAAAACAAAGTTATTATTAGCTAACACAAGTCCACAGCTTAGTCCCTTATTGTAGGCTGTTTTTCTCTCTGCATTGTGCAAGCTTCATATTGCGGTGTATAAATATGTTTATCTACCCTACCCTCCGAGACAATTTCAAAATTTCATGTAACGTATAGAGAATATTCAGTGTCAGTGAATGGAAAGATAGAGAACAGCTTCAGTATATGCTTGCCAATGGTTTGCACTCCAGTTGGTTCAAATATTACACATTGAGTATCTTAAGTTATTCCACTGCCCCTTCACATAAACAACCTTCCCTTCCCTTCCCTTCCAACCTCCTTTTCTTCATTCAATCATATTAAATTCCCTTCCATTTCAAAGGCCAAGTAAGCTAGCTTCTTCTTCCATTTTTCCTTGTTGCTTTGAATTGATTTCTTGGATTGGCTGAAACAAGTAACAATCTATGATACTATAGGAAAATTTATTATCTTACGAGGGAATTCCACTAAATTTCGCGCGGAAAACCGCTTCGCGATTCGTGCGATATCGGTTTTTCAAGTGAAATGTAACGTGGAATTCACGAGTCAGGTTATGAATTTTCCTTGAATCGCATAACCTTCTTTTCAAATGAAAGAAAACCCCGTTTCATTTACGTCTGTGTGAATGTTGCAATACTCAACGCGCGCTCGAGAAAAGCCATCTCTCTCCAGAAAGTTGTACTTCAGGTCAAAGCAGGGAGAAACTTGATTTCCCATTTCAAAAAGACTTGTGTTTGTTTTTGGCTTGGTTGACTGTGACAATGGTTTTGAAAACATGATTAAAAGGTCATTGTTTCTAATTGTTTTTCAGTTGTTGTTTTGTTGTCGCTCCAGTGCCATATTACACAAAGCGTCGCTTTCAAGAGTCGCAATTCCACACTGAATACCTCGCCTAGGTAACCAATCAGGGTGCAAGAATTCTCAGAGCTATGCGATTCTAGAAATAATTTGAACATGTTACTTGTAATGTAAAGTCTCTTTCTTACTTAAATATCAGAGTCGTTTCTCCTGGTTCAGTTACCATGCCGTATACAAAAAGTGGTTTACTTCCTACAGTCACATTGGACCAAACTTTTCCTTCAGTACAGCTGTACCTGAAATGACAATATTAGATACTCAGCAAGCAGCATGCCCAGCATAAAGGAATACTAAAGGGTCTTACACTTTTTTTAGCAACAGAATAGCATGTAAGGATGCATGAGGCTTTACCAGACTTAACTGGCAACAGGTTAGAAAATGTATGGATTTAACGATCTTGGACGTTCGGGGACCCCTATTTTTCTTTTGATGGATCATTTTCTCTACCGATTTTCTACGTTAGGGGAAAAAATGAGGAAAATCTATCGACTAGAAGTTTGAATCTTTTGCAGAATGCACCATCGAATTCCGTTCTTTTACGCTCTTCGTTTATCTGAGCGACGGTTTCAAATGCCTCTTGAAGGGTTAAGTTTTGTGAAAACGTTGGAAACATTTGGAATTATTTACGCAACAGACCCTCTTCTACGAAATATGGTTAAGAACGTTTGCCTTCGTTGACTCACCTTCGATACGTTTAACTATAAACCCCATTAGACCATGGTGAATTACGTGCGCCAATTTTTCAAAATCAGGGTAGTTTTCCACACCTTTTAACTCTAAAACGAAGTCGATGATCCCCATTTTTTTTTTTTTTTTGCATTTCTGACACAAATAATTCACTATCTGACAGCAGTAAAAATTTAAAAAAATCTATCGACTGGAAAATTTTCACGCGACCGTCCTTTAATGGATAAAACCGCCAGGGGAATTTTCGCAGCAGGCATTCATCTTGAAGCTCGTATTTCATGTTATTTGGTATTGTTTATATCGCGCATTTGTTCTTTTGCCTTTGGCTACTTTGTCCGTTTCAGCGTGTTTCTTTTCAATGCAACAGCGAGATAGGAAACATGTTGCAATGCGATGCTTTTCCCGGGAAATCCTGATCCATTGTCACTGACGCTAGGAGGTCCTGTTGCTCCATTGGTTTGCGGTTTCATAAGGCGAGATAATCTCCTGGCGTTGCGCAAGATGTTTACGAACCTTTACAAGCTAAGGGACGCAGCAAAGGACGGAGCAAAGGACGGAGCAAAGGGCAGACCATTAGAAAAGTGATGGGGGGGGTGGGGTGGGGGAAAAACAAAAAAAATCATGCAAGGGAGGGTTACTGAAAAAAAAATCGTGCAAAGGAGAAATTCCTGCAGAGTGAATTGCACTGTCGGGCTTACAAACTCTACTCGCTTGACGGGCACCTTGGCAGCCACTTTATACTTCCGTTTTAATTTCTTGGACCTGGTTTTCTCAACAATTAGGAAAACATACATTTTTCAGGCCTTTCAAGTCTGATACATTTTGTGCACAGCAACCTCATCATCTTAAAAGTGATAAAAACACCATGTGCTATAAACAGCCATCCTGCTTGAAATATTTGCAATTAGGGTCAATTAAGCAAGCACATACTGCAGTTTGAAGCCTCGAGAAATAGGAGTGATTTCACAGTATAAATAACGATTGTGGACAAAGATGTGCACACCGGCATGGCGAACCGTAACACTTCCCCTAAGATGGCCGCTAAGATCAACGTTGGACAAAAATCGTAAACAAAGACTTCGTGATGCATTTAGTATGGACAACTGATGCAATTAGTACGGACTGTTTCAATCTATTTTAGGCTTTTGACAGAGTAAACGACGCATTATCATTCAAGTCCAATCGATACATTAAATTTATCGCTTGAAAATCGTGGAAAACGCACCAAAAACGCTTCAATTTTGCGAACTTTTCTGGGGGAGCATACCCCCAGACCCCACTAACGGAATAGGCAGCAAACGTGAAAAATTTTTTCCTGCAAGCTGAAAAAGTCCCATCCCCCTTCCCCATCACTTTTCCAATGGTCCGTCCCTAAAATCTCGCATTTGATTTTGGGAGGAATACATCCACTTTGAGCGAAATTATAGGGCATGCAGATTTCACGGATTTTCGTGACATTTCGCCAGAACATGAATGACAAACGAAAGTGTGTTGGGAAAATAGCCAACGAGGCGCGTAGCGCCGAGTTAGCTATAATCATCACTCGATTCTGATTGGCTGAGAGTAGTGCAGTTCAAGTGTAACACCAGTGCAAATTATACATCGTAATTCTGGATTATGACTGGCTAAAATACAATAGGAAATTTTCTAAGCCAATGATATCACGTAAATTGATGACGAAAATTTTGCGCGGACAATTTGAAAAAAATTTTCTCGAATGAGAAAAAATGGCTTCAAGAAAGATCTTCCGGCACTTCCTCCACGCGAATGTTTTCATTTTTATATTATTAGTAAGTAATCATACGGTTTTTCTTGTTCAATTTGGAATTCATTGGCAATTAAGAGTTTTTCAAAAAGCGGCCAAAGCGTCTCGTACAATTTCAGCTTTTTGAAAAACTCATTCCTGCAAATTAATTCTAAATTGAACTCAAAACCGTATGATTACCAACACATATCCAACAAGCGCGAGTGGAATAATTGCCCCCAAATATAGAAAACTAGACTAAAATAAAAGTAAAAACGCCCCAAAATCACGCGTACGCTTACCATATTTGTAGAGCATGGCATAATGGCTCATAACCCATGATGGCTTAGCCAATGAAAACTCTCGAATTGCATTGTCCAATGATGCAGTTTTTGATAAAAGGGAGTACCACCCCGCCGGGAAATTTTGAATTTAAGCCTTACCACACTTTATCAACACGACGACGCATTGGGACTGCTGCAATAATTCCACCGTGGTCTCCAATGACGAAATCATGGTACCCGTCAAATTCCTACAGAGAATTAAACTAATATCAACAAACACAACAATGACCATGAAAATAAAAAATATTTCGAGGTTATCCAAAATCATAACTTTAAAGTAGTACTGAACTAACAAGAAAACTTAAGACAAACCACAATTGAAAACATCCAATACAGGTTTTGGATGCTTCAAATATTCGTTAATACTTTATGACACTAAAAGAGGATGCAGTCATATCCAAACACATTTCTTTCATGAACATGTTTTCAAAATTTCCAACTGTTCTGTGTAAAACAGACTTTTCTAGAGTTTCTTAGAACTCTGTTAACAGGCATTTTTTTTGTAAGTGGTCACGTTCCATATGTGCACACTTTATCGTCGTGACGTCATTGTCACCAAATTACCGAAAGACTCCAGCTACCTTTTGATATTTTCGCGACAGGTTAATTTCGCGAAATTAAGTGAGTCACATAATGTTAATGTTGACACATAGTCCCGCCGTTGCGTTTTTGTTAATTTTGACGTTATTGTACCTTTGATAAAGTCGGCCTACTAAATTCAAGGACATGCCAAAGTAACATTGCTAAGGAAATAAACTGAGTGTTACTCAAAAAAAAAAAAATCGCGAAGTTTAAGTGATTCAAAGTACACACTTTTCGCAAAATCACGGAATTCAAGTGTCTCAAAATATGCGCACCACAAAATCGTGACATTAACATGTCGCGAAAACTTCATGGTATTTTAACAGAGTCCAACATGAGCCTTTATAGAGATTAATACTGAGTGATTAGATTCCGTTATAACCACCTGACGTTGACAAACGTATGTCAAACCAAAATTGTATATTTATTCTGAATTTGTGACTGATCGATCAGTGCTGGAAAGAACAGTTGATCATTGGTTATTGTCCAACCAAATTTGAGAAACAATCCGACTAATTCTGGAAAGAACAGTTGATCATTGGTTATTGTCCAACCAAATTTGAGAAACAATCCGACTAATTCCATTACATTATGATCGGACAACATGACCAAGCAGCAAAATGAATTGGCTTTTAGTTGTCAAGATCTCACTTGCAGACTATTTGCTTTGAACCACATTTACAATACTAAATCATAACAGATCAATGGTTTGCTTTGTTGAAATGGCCTCTCCAAACAAAAGCCGCTTTGAAAATCGTCCCATACGTCATTACTTTCCAATGACACTGTTTTAAGATGCTTCATGTATGCAAATGAATTGAGTCATCAGATCAACCAAATTTGTCATACAACTGTATGTGTGACCAAAATAGGAATTTGAAAGGATTTACATGCCCTGCTTCGTAATAAGGACTATTTCCAACACTGATGGTTGATAGAAAGGGCAACCCAGCCTGCAAGGTCATGCAAGCTGAAAAACTTCTCATCTTGAGCTAGTCAACCAGTGAACCAATTTACAATGTATCACAGAGCCTGACTAAAAGACAGTCGTCTCCATTTTCTTATAGCAACCAGGAGAATCACTTACTTTGGTCCAAGTTAGGCCACCATCATTGGAAAGAAATACCCCAATGTGATTCTCTAATAGACTGCTCCCCAAGTTACCTAAAAACATTATTTCACAACAGAAATATTAAAATATTATTAAGTAGAATACTACAGACGTAACTTATCGATGATCATTGCTATTGATAAGCAATCGATGGATAATCAATCAGCAATCAACTGATTAGTCATTGACTATTGGCAATGATCAGTGAGTAATATTGCTGATAATCAAAATTTTCGTGGCCTGTGGATTACTCATCAATGGCATCAATTACCTGACGCTGTTGATTACTCATCAATTACCTATTGATTACATATACATGTATATTGTTATACTGAATATCTGTTAGGATTTTCCAGCATTTTTCTTTATAATTGTAACTGATTTTCGTGTTATAAATCTTTACGTGAATGGTTTGCGATGATAACAACAGACAACATGCCAGGCTATTAAATAGGGGCAGTAACTGAATTCAAAGAAGTCCAAGACCAAGTCCAAGATTCGTCTTCACCTGTTACAAAGTAGTGGTCATCTAGCTAAGAGAATAGCAAAACGGCATGCAGAATTTCTTTTAATTTCTTCAATTCGAAGTAGCCACGAGATTATACCCATGACTAATCTATGCCCGTTTAATAACACTTTCCTCAGATAATAACCACATTACTCCCATTCTAAAAGACCTACACCGGCTACCAATAACTGAACATATAAGTTTAAGATCTTGATCCTTACTCTTAAAGCTTTACATAATTTGTCTCCTTGGTATTTACAAGAATTGACAAGCCTCTACCGTCCTTCAAGAACTCTCCGTTCATCTACATCTCTCCGTCTTAACTGTGCTAGCTATAGCTTGAAGTCTTATGGACCTAAACCTTCAGCTGACCTTCTTTCCCATCTCTTTTAGAATCAACTGCTTTATACCATTGCCAGTGGAAATAGCCAAGTGAAGGGCTCGAAAAAAGTGCCGTCCGGTCATCCCAGACAAGAAGATTCTCCTGCTGGGCAAGTAACTTTTCATTCCCACTTGCCCACTGGGCAAGGGAGCAGGCAAGTCGTCTGCCAACTTAATCATTAAAAAAGCACTTAGGACTTGCCTAGGACAAGCAAAATTTGAGAGCTACTTGTCCCAAGGCCAAGCTGGAATTCACATTTCTTTTTCAAGCCCTTGCCTGAGTACCCTTATGAATGCTGAGTTTGATAGTGCAGCTTTAATTTGTTAGCTGTGTAATAATAAATTATACACTCAGTTCTATTCAAAGTGCCATCTTCATAAAGTTCATTACCTTGAGCTATGATAATCCCTACAGCTGAGTCTGAAGACAAAACAGAAGGGATGTAATAGTACCAGTGACTCAAGACCATGTGGATGTGAAGAGCACAGTCAGGCTGGGGTGTGGAAACAAAACAAATAGGAAAATATTAGCTCGGAAAAATGCCACCGTCGATATACTCAAGCAAAACATTTCCTGACAGCTAGTGCTGGTGGAAGCCAGTCACGTAGCCCCTTTGGTCTTTCCACCATCCAGGGGTGCCATAGCATTAGGAGGACTCCACAGAAAGAAACAAATACAGAGATTCAGTAATAAAGACAAGGCAGGGGTTAAATGCAATGGAATGATGTTCAGATGTTTCATTTTTACCAAAAATTTAAAAGTTGTGGGTGCTACAACGTATCAGGTAGCTGCACCCGTTAGTTACCCAGTGGAATACACAAGGAATGGACCTTTTTACCAATGTATTTTTTCATTCAAGCAAAAATAAACTGCACCGCTCGATTTATCATGACAAATTTAGTAAATATGTGAAGTTACATTGGACTCTGTTGTAAACTCATAAAAATATGGGACCCCAAACTTCCCAAATTTTACTAAGAAACGTATGCCAAGAGTCAATGTTTGCCTCCTATAATTTTTATTGGTAGCATACAAGTTTGGGGGCTTATACATGTATTTTTATGAGTTTGCAACAGATTCTTATGAAACTTCATTGATTTACTAAACTCAGCATGGAAAATAGAACTATGGAGATGATTGTTTGATTATTTGAAAACTACGAAAAATTGTTGACATAGTGTGATATTGGTAAAAAGGTCTATTGATAGGGCTATTAAGGTCATTCCACTGAAATAGAACCTGCACTGCGATTTTTGTCAAACTTTGCCTATTGATTGTTTATATTATAGGAACTTAAATTTTAAAATAAAAATGAGGGGTCCCCATCTTTGTTTAGGAGCAACGGCACCTTGTTTGTACCCAATAAATCCTTATAATAGCACCATGATTATAGTCAGGATTGCTTGCTAAATTCATGTTTCCGACTATTGTGTCTTGTTCTACACTGAGAACTGGTCGATATTTATTTTACATAGAGAAATTTATTACTCAATTCAAAACAACAGAAAAAAATGATATGTCACCGTACTCGTTTTCGAGGAAATGACAATTTACCTCTATGGCGAGGTCCAGCTGTAACGAAAAAGCTGTCATTTTTCAATGCGCGCGCGCTAATCACGTGTGAAATCATGCGCAGTAGGGATGTGCAGTGCAATACTGGGGAATGACCTTAATAATAAAACTAGTGAGACAATCTCAGATAGTGCAGAGCGCAATTGATAGTTCTGGTACAGTAGTCCCATAAGTACTTCCCCCTGCTCGGTTCACTTCCGGTTTGTGTCTACCTTGGTAGTCTGCTACGGCTTTTCCCCTTTGCAGTGTGTATGTTTCAAGGTTGTATTTTCATTCA